CCCCAAAACCCCAAAACCCCAAAACCCCAAAACCCCAAAACCCCTTTCCAAATTCTCCTAATTGACAAACACTTAACTTTGTACTTTTAGAGGTTTTCTGGTCAGAAAAGACCACATTTTTTATGGTATAAAAGAGAAAATTAATTTCAGTTTTATAAGTATTAATTTAAAAGTAAGTCACATACAAACATCAGCTTTTCCATAGAAAACTTACTTTCAAGTATCTAAATCAGAATAAACATATGATTGGGACTCTTATGTTCAGGAGTTCCTCTCTATTTTGTTTCCACATCATTCTCCCAATTCTCAAGATTTTAACCATGATCTTTATATCCAATTACTCCTAACCGTCAATTTCCTAAATTTGATCGGACGATTAAGCAATAAAGATCGGTTGAAGTATTTCTGTTCTTATTTCTCGCTCTTAGTTATTATTAATACCGCCTCAGTTCTAATGATTACGTATAGAATGAAAGATAACAACACTAAATTAACTAAATCAAATACTGGTCAACAAGAGAAGGCAAAGGATTGCCTTAAGGATTACAAGAATAAGTCTTGGTATCAATTCTGGACTTACAGTTGGATCAACTCTACTATTGAGATTGCCAACACAGATGGGCTTACTGAAGAAGTTCTAGGAGAGCTAGATATCAAAGATACCGCCCAATACATTACTAATAGATTTAAAAATGCATGGGAAGCTGAAGAGAATAAGAGTGAATTTACCTTAATGATGGTTCTCTTCAGATTGTACAAAAAACCACTATTAATTAGTATTTTTGCTATTTGGCTTTGTATCTTCCTTGAAGCCATCAATTTCCATGTGTTAGGAGAAGTCCTTTCATATGTTGATGGTGAATATGATAACCAAGCTTGGGCTATCGCCTGTGTCTTTGGAATAGCCATATCTGAGTTCATATCAAGAGGGTGTCACATGCTTCAAGACACAAATATGCTTAGATGTGCTGAATCAATGAGAGAATGAGTTAAAGGTGCAATCTACTCAAAAATGTACAAAATGTCTGATGCAACCAACAAAAAGTATCAGAAAGGGAAGATGCACAACTTAATGGGACAAGACTGTGGGAGAGTTTGTCATCTTGTATGGCAGATCCCACATATGTCTTCAATGCCGATGCTGATTCTTACTACTTTCTACTCTCTTTACCTTTTTGTTGGGCATATAGTTTGGATTCCTGTTACAATCCTGTTTGCAAGTCTTGCACTCTGTTACTGTATCCTCATATTCAACATCAAGTTGGAGAAGAAGAGAAGGAAGGATGACGATAACAGGTCAACCATTCTTAGTGAAATCATTGAAAACATCAAGGTCCTAAAAATGAACTCATGGGTGAACTGTTTCGAGAAAAAGCTGAATGACCTTAGGAAGAAGGAACATTACAATGATCTTATCGGAAGACTTATCTGGATGCCTCACCATGCTGCTCATTGGCTAACTTACTACTTGATGGTTGTCAGCGTCTTCTATGTCTGCATTCTTGGCTACAACATGAAACTGACAGTCCCAACTGCAGTTGCAATTTGGAGATTAATTGGAAAAGTTAAGTGGCATACAGGATGGATCCCAGGATTTGCCAACTTCTACACTGAATTCAAAATTTCAATTAAGAGAATCGCCGACTTCCTTACCAATGACGAGATTGAAGAGCACATCACTGAGCTGAAGAACTACGAAGAAGAAGAGAATGCCATCGAAATAAAGAAATCTAGCTTTTTCTGGGGATTCGATCATATCGACTCCGATGAATCAGATGATGAGGAAAATGAAGATACTTCTGATAAAGACAAACAGAATCAGAAAGTAAAGGTCCAAAGAAAAGATAGCAGTGAAACAGATTCGACCAACACAGATGACGAGAAGAAGGTACAGGATGTCAACAATAAAGTTGCCTTGAAGGATGTTGAGCTCAAGATCAAGAAGAATGAATTTGTAGCAATTATTGGAGATGTTGGCTCCGGTAAATCTTCATTAATCAACACATTACTCAAAGAGACTTTGTATGTCGATGATGAGACTCTTAACAAGTATGGAAACACTGAGATTGATGATAAGAAGGAGAAGAAGATCAAGCTTGAAAAGAAAAGCAACAACGATACCTCTCCTGGAGTTATCGACCAAATCATGGACTTTAGGAGCAAAAATACAAAAGATTCTTCAGCAAGAATTTCTGTGGCAGGATCGATCAGTTTAGTCCAACAGAAACCTTTCATCCTCAGTCAAACTATTCGTGAAAATATTTTGTTTGGAGAAGAACTTGACGAAGACAGGTACAACAGAATTGTACAGGCTTGCCAACTTGGAAGCGACCTTGAAATCCTTGAAGGAGGAGACCTCACCCAAATTGGAGAAAAAGGGGTAAACCTGAGTGGAGGCCAAAAAGCCAGACTTAGTATTGCGAGAGCTGTTTATGCCAATAGAGACATTGTCCTTATGGATGATCCTCTCTCGGCTTTGGATGCTCATGTCAAGAGGTTAATCTTCGATGAAGTCTGCTGTGAAGAACTAAAAGACAGAACCAGAATCATTGTCACTCATGCTGTTGACTTCTTGGATAGAGTCGACAGAATCATTGTTGTTGAAAAAGGAAAAATCAAGTTGAATGGAACTTACGATGAGCTCATCAATGAAGGATATTTCGAGAAAGTTATGAAGACAATAACAAAGAAGAACAAAGAAGATGAAGATGAAAACTCAAGCGCATCTGATGACTCTTGTGATAAAGAGGAAAAGAAGAAGAACTACCTAAGCCAGAAAGAAAAGAAGCTTCTCGAAGATCAAGATGATAAAGAAATCGAAGTCACAAAATCTACCTACTTGCAATACTTCATGTACCTTAAGCAAGGGCTGATCTTTATGGGAGTTGGTATTGCAATTCAAGCTTTCATCAGGATGTGCAACATGCGAGCTGATTACCTTTTGCTAAAGTGGGTGCAAGATTTCACTCAAAATAAGGTAGCCGAGTTCGAAGCTATTAAATACGTTGCCATATATGTATTTTTAATGATCTCAGTTGATCTCTCAGGATGGATCATTGACATCGTTCAGAATTACCTGATTGATAAAAAGATCTTTGCAGAAATGTTTGAAAAGATGGTTAATGCTCCAATCAACTTGTTCTTTGATAAAATGCCTTCATCGTTGATTACCAAGAGATTCTCAGCCGATCTTAACTCATCTTCAAGAGATTTACCTCACACTATTAAATGGAATGTCAGAAACTTGATTGTAATGTGCATGACTATTTCATTTGTGACTTACACTGCTCCAGTTTGCTTGCTAGTAATTCCATGTGCTATATTCTTGTATTCACTAGTAATGAGAGGATATATGACTACAGATAGACAAATTTCCAGGCTTTTTAGAAAATCCTCAACTGCATCTGGAGTACACTTTGGAGAATCAGTGGAGGGAATCTCAACTATCAGAGCTTTTAAGAAGATTGAACAATTTGAAGCCAAAAGATTCTGGCTTAAAGACAGAGAACATTCTCTTGCTATTCTAGATAGAGGACTTAACTCATGGTTATGCATGAGATTGATGAGTATCTCAATGATATTCATCATCTTCCTATACATCTACTGCATTGTTTATAGAGATAGTCAAGATACTGTTATTATCGGACTCCTCATGGGGTATGTCATCGAACTTCAATGGAACATGAAGGAATTTGTCCATGAAATCACCAGAATTCACATCCAAATGGCTTCTTTTGATAAATGCAAAAAGATCACTGAAATTCCTCAAGAAGCTGCTCAAAGACTCCCAGTGCCAAAAGATGAAAATGGAGAGCAATGGATGAGCAAAGGCCGTGTTGAGTTCAAGGACTTCTCTCTTAGATACCGTGAAGACACTGAAGTTGTCCTCAAGAAAATCAACCTGAGCATCAAAGCAGGAGAGAAAGTTGGAATCGTTGGAAGAACCGGAGCTGGCAAAAGTACTTTGTGCTTGGCTCTTTGTAGAATCATTGAAGCACTTAGAGGATCTATTGAAATTGATGGGGTTGACATCTCCAAAGTTGGATTGGCTGACCTCAGAGACAGAATCACCATTATCCCACAAGAGCCAGTTCTGTTCAAGAATACCTTGAAATTCAATCTAGACCCAGAAAACAAATGCTCTGACAAAGAAATCAAAGACATGCTTAGAAGAGCCAACCTAGGAGATCTCTTGACTAGAGATGGCAAAGGAGTCAACTTCAAAATCACCGAGAAAGGAGAAAACCTCAGTGCAGGTGAAAAGGCTTTGATCTGTATTTGCAGAGCTGCTCTTAGAAAGAACAAAGTCATCTTGATGGATGAAGCGACTGCTAACATCGATGTGAATACTGAAGAAACAATCCAGAAACTAATCAACCAAGAGTTCAAAGACTCCACAGTGATCACAGTAGCCCACAGACTAAACACCATCATGAAGAGTGACAAGATTGCAGTCATGAGCTTTGGAGAAGTTGCTGAGTTTGGGTCTCCAGAGAAATTATTGGAGGATAAAAAGTCTCATTTCACAGAAATGGTTAATAGATTTAACGAATAGTTGAATTTAATAATATATGCCTAATAATACATTCATTCAACTCGTAATCGTACATTCGGGGTTTTGGGGTTTTGGGGTTTTGGGGTTTTGGGG